AAGAGTGAGAGAGAGAGAGAGAGAGAGAGTTTGTCAACAAGATAATTCAAAACATTTACATTATTATTATCTCATGGATAATCTTAAGATAACGAATGCAAAATACATAATCCAAGTATGAATAAAGTGAACGACTATTAGTGAAAGTGCGCCAAAATCTAGTGTAGGGATAAAGTGGCAAACTATCCGATTCTGGTTTAACTGTGCGTTTGGCGCATGAATTTTGCCATTTTTTCATTGTTTATTCAATTCTTGTGTTGTATGTGTGGAGTCAATGGTTGTCACAGCCCTTGCTATACATTATTCTCGGCAATTATAAGGCAATTATCTTTCAAAATAAAATTTGTTGTTAATTATTGTTGAAGGGATAAAAGCCTTGCGGCCGATAGAAACCATATAACACTATCTTAAAGGTAAGTGTTTTGTCCGTAAATAATGGACAACAGATTCAATCAATGACTGCAATTCAGTTTGCATTTTGTATGAGAGGTATTGCATTGAGTGACAGATATTTGATAGTATATGCTATGGGAAAAGACCTACTGTTTTGGGTATACTCTATGCGTTCATTGAAGTAAAATGCGATCGATATGTTTAGACCAAAATATCACATCAGATGGCAATTCATTTACAAACGTTTATTTTATTATTTCATTTAGATTTAAATTTTGTTTTAATTTAAACAAATATACCAAAAATTACTATTCAATCAATATTTAAAGTAGCAAACATTTAAACAATTCTTTATGTTATTTGTTAAAAATTATATATTCTTACGTAGAATAAAGCTAAAAATAATATTTATGTCTATAGAAATATATTTATAATGAATTTATACGAAATTCAACCTCATCTAAACTGATAATAAAGCACTTCTTTTGTGTCTATCATTAAAAGCATATATTTATCATTAATTTCTACATAATATAATTCAATTTAAAAGAAAGGTTGATAATAGGTACTATAAAAAACCCTATTCATTAAGGTTTCATATTTCTAATTATGGTAAATTCTGTGACGTATTCTCTATGTTAGCGGTGCGGGGGTTTCCCTAATCCATAGTATTAAATATACAGCAAATTATATCCATTGCTAATTAAAATACAGTATTATTAACATTAAGAATCTTATTATGTAATAAGTGTACAAATTTCTACACTTATTGAATATATAACACACAGATTATAATTTTAATTGAAATAATAAGTGTTATTGTTAACTAATTTATTTGTTTTTATTGCGTTTATTGTGTTTATGTTTAGTACAAATCCGCCACAAATATAATGTCAGTCGTAATCCTATTGACGGGTCGTATTTGGACGAGTGTTTCGGCGACAGAGCTTCAGGACCACATCGGCGCCGACGGTCTACTCAGTGGACCCACATATATAGCCAGAGATCAGGTGGGAATACCACCCGAAGAATCGCAACTTTATAAATGCCTGAACGCGCGTATGATTAAGGAAAAAGTCTGGTCCACTAATTTACCCGCCGCTTCTGTCATAGGCATGTATTCATACATAACAAACACATATATTATATAAAGTATGAAATACATTCTGTGCAATATTTATGTATAATCAGGTGGTTTAAGGCCTAGGGTTAGCATATTTTACATTGACTAACATTGAAAATATGCAAAACCCGGCTCTAAAGCACATACACTGTGTTTATGTATATATAGTTGTATGATATATTAAAACCTGGTTATTTTGTGTTTAGGAAAATTACTATCATTTGGATATAAGTTGATCAGTCAAGCGGGTAATGGCGTGGGTTTCTCAGGCAAAGCCCGATACAGTGCCGACGTAGCCGTCACTGACTACCGGTGGAGTTGGACTCTGGTTAAGGAGAATCACGCGCCGCCTCCCTATGCAGACGGACGGCTACACATCGAATAGCGGCACTAATAGTGCCAATAATTGGCCACAATTTTTAGACACGTTTTCATTTTACAATCATTTGCTTGTGATTCCCATATAAAGCATGCGTTAGAATATGTTATAATTTATATACAGAATAAGTTTATAATATCTTATAGTTGTTGACATTTGTCGAAATATATTTGTTTATCGCATTCATAGTCATTATTGAGCACAGAATATGATTCTTGTAATACAAATATACAATTGTAGTTCACTTGAAGTGTTGAGAACATAATATTTTTGTTTAATATTATATTATTTATGCCGGATACAGTAGTTTTATGTTTATGTTTTCATATAATTGTTGAATATATAATTTAAATGCTTTATAATATTATATTCATTAAAAATACATTACGTTTTGTTAAAAATTTTTGATAATTCATAAATTATTGAAAATATTATTCGTAAATATTTTAAGCGCTGATTTATATTTAATAAATTGTAATTAATATATTGACGTTAATATTTAATAAGTTATATGCTGTTAATAAAATTCATTATTTAATAAAAATAAATCCATTAATAATGGATAATAACTTATTATATTATAGTTTAAGTAGAGTTAAGCTCAAATACAGTATAATCATGAAACTTTTAATGAATAGGCATTTCAATAGTGAATCACATAGTAAATTAAATTATAAAAAGGATTTTGATTCGGTGACAGAATAGTATGCGAAGAGTTGTTAAAAGGATTGTCTATTGAGGACAGGATTAGAGTCCAATTAGTGTCTAAAGAGCTTCAGAGATCATGAATTTTATTCTCACACGTAAACAATGCGTTCAGTCGATAAACACATGAAAATAAATTAAAAACACGGACTGTTAGGTCGAGTGCTGTTTAATTTTTATTCCAAATTTATCATATTTTTATAAATACATGAACACAAAACATATGTACAATTTTAGTTAATACTAATTTTTGGTAATATAATTATAGTTAGATAGTAATTTAACATTTTTATATAATAAACAGTTTTACAAAATAAAACTAATCACTGTATAAGAAAAATATTTTTGCTACAAGTTATTAAAACTTACACATTACTAATTGTGGATTGCATCTAAAGTTTGGTGACTTTTAAGAAAATGCCATTTCTAGGGCTTTGGGTAAATATAGTAGTCGTGAGCGAGAGATTTGCGGTTTCAGTCTTCGCACCACTAATTAGTCGGTAATTGAGAAGAAGTTTAGCCAACGATAGCTTCACCACAAGTAATGCGAATCGCATTCCAATGCAATTTCGTGGACCACTTCCGAAGGGTTGCCACGAATTCGGGTAAATCTCGTGCTTTCGGTCGGCGCTAAACCTCATGGGATCGAAGACTTCGGGTTCAGACCAGTAGTCGGGCGAGTGATGCAAATAATGGACGTCAACCACAACTGAACTGCCTTTTGGTATAACAATAGTATCGTTGAGTTTATAGTCTTCACGACATTCTCGGGCATTGGCGGATAAAATCTGAGCGTTTCTTTCAAAACACAATCCATAAAATCTAATGTCTGAACAGTATTGTAATCAAGGATACCATCACTTTCTTGTAGTTTCTGCACCTCTTGTCTCACTCTTTCCTGAATATCGGGATATTTAACAAAAATATGAGACATATATCCGAGTGCTGTACTCGTCGTCTCATATCCGGCCAAATATAGTGTTGTAGAGTTGGCTAAAACTTCGGAATCCGTGAGAGAAATGTCATTCTTGTTATGTTTGTCGTTTTTTGAATCATTTTTGTCACTGTTTTGTCCTTTTATTTGTATTTCATTTCCTGCAGTCATCCTCTCGTCAGTCATGTCTTCACTCGATATCTTTGAATCTATCAATAGTTGTAATAAATCTTTTCGACGAAAGTTTGGGTTTTGTTTTCTCAATTTAATGATACCTCTGACCATATCTCCGAGTATATCCATCGGGGCGTTAGAAATGAGTTTTATTAATCTTCTGAACGGATAGAAAATGAGATCCAATTGTGGAAAGCATTGAATTAATAAAATTAGTAAACGATTCACTTTTGTTCGAAGCACTCTTTTGGCCGCATTTAAAAACTTATTGTTTTCTTCATTTTGAACATTGGTTTGAATACCTAAAGCTGTTCTTCCGATTATATCATTGACCAAACTTTGAAACATACCGTAAATATCAAACTCTACGCCAGTTTTGGATCTGTTGTCGATTATATCAATGAAGTTATTGAAGGCGTCGTCTATAATGGGTGTCATTGTCTTGAGTTTGGATGCGCTGAAAGTCGGAGTCGAAACACTTCTCACTTTTTTCCATTGCTTTCCCCGAAGAATAAGAAATGTTTGGTCAAAGAGTGGTTCAGTAAACGGACCGCCTTTTAGTTTGAGGTTCGCTCTGTCCGTGAAGTTGTGAAAGTCCTTAATCTGTATGTCTTTTGCTAAGTCCGCGTCGGCCACCAAAACAGTGGGTTTCGCTCCCATATAATAGCCAACTATTTTACCGTATTTTTCAATCCATTTCGCGTTTCGTTTAATTGCAGACAATTTCTGTGTTTGAAAAATATTTCCAGTAATAAGACTCGGTTTTGGACCCGGAATTCCGTTTCTCTTCAAAACAGACATGTTTTTTACTCTCTGGTAACACAAATAACCAATGAATACTGTTAATATCGTCAACAATAAGAACGTGAACATTTTTATAACTAGTATCTTTTTATTATAAGTAAAGTTTTAAAAAATTTAAATAAATATATAAAAGTAAATATTCTAGTAAATTAAATAAAAATTATTTCTTATAAATTAATTAAATGTAGAATTTGATTCTCTATTATATAGCAATTTCTTATCTATAACCATAATTCATTTAATTCTATAAATTCTTTTATCTATTGCCTGCACTCATAGAATGATGTGATATCTGTTGGATATTCGTTATATTAGAGAATCCTTTCACAACATATTGAGTGCAAATCCCATATTTGATGAGATCTCGAAAGCTTTCGCAAAGTTGAGGGAAAGACATTGTAATTGTGTAGTTAGTTGTGTCCTCACAATATTAATTTTTGTTACAAATATAAATTAAAATAAATGTGCTATCTGAAATAAATCTGTATATAGTAGGCAAACCGTTCGGATGCTTTTTGGATGCTTTTTTCATAGTTTTGAGCACAATAATGACTATTACAACTATTTGTTCATTTTATAGCATTAGTTAAACATTATTTGTTATAATTTTCTGACTAATTCATCGTTTTTGTTTAGTCTGCATATTAAATGACTCATTATTTGGTTTCCCTGGTATATAGTGAAAAGTAAATTACACATAGAATACATTTCAGAACTTTCATGAATTTGACTGCAAGTACTCTCATGGTCATAACTAGAGCAGAGATTCTTCGGGAATTCCCGAATAAAATTAGTTAATAGAATATTCGGGAATAACATCCAGTTAGTTTTAGAAGTTATATTGGATTAAAAATATACCATTTGTATTTTCCCGAATACTCCCGATTTTGGCCTATTTTCAGAATATTTCCGATTTTAGCATACTTTAAAAATATGCCCGATTCTGACATATTTTTAAAAAAATCTTGATATTTTATGCAAAATAGGCTAAAACGAACTATTAAAAAAAACAAAAAATATTATTATAAAAATCCACAATATTTTGGGATAAAATGTCTAACAAAATATGCATTAAGTAAGTTTGACGATGTTGTACGTTTTTACTGTGTCAATTTAAGAATATTCTTACAAATAGAAGACAGACTAAAAGAATAAAACTTCAATTTCTATGTTATTCTACTTCAATTCATTTTTAAATGATTTAAATTTATAATTATTGTGTTGGACGGTATAAACGTTAATTCCAGAATGTTCCCGAATTTGACTGTTTTACTCCCGGTTCCCGACCGAATTTGGTTGTTTGTATTTCCAAATAATCTCTGCTCTAGTCATAACATGTATACGTACAGTAATATGATTACAAATAATTAAAAAATACATTAAAATCCACTGTAACTACTGCTGTGTATACTGTCGGATATAGCAGCAATCCGTTTGTATACATTATATTAAGGTATAGTCACAATCAATGATACTGTATGTGGGGTTTACAGTAGGAACTTGGAGTGGGACAGACAAAAGTCTCTGATTCAATGATAAATACAGTATTAAAATTTATAATACTAATAAAATGTACTAAATTTTGGTCCAACAGTACTAAAAATCAGATCACCTTCAAATATCTCGTTTAGTACTAATAAACCCAAATGCTTTTTATCGCTCATTAAATCTACAGGTATACAGGTATACTGTATGTAATGTACATCTGGTGTATTCCGGTTTATAATACTTATTTGAAAGTTATTTGCTTAAAAATATATAAATCATTATTAATAACTTAAAATTAACAATAATCACAATTTCATTATAGATTAGCATAAAATTAGTTATTACGTTATTTTAAAATCCAATAATGAATTGTCTTGTGGAAAAATAAGAATATGTATATCAAATAAACTAGACTACTAGATTATACAACAACAACAACAACAACAACAAAACATTTATTTAAGTAAAATTTTTATTTAAAATTAATATAATTGTGACAAAGTTAGTTTTACATTATATACTGTGTTATTAATTATAATTATACAATTGTATATTATTTTTGATTGTCTTTTGAATACATATTCTTCAGTTATATAGAATTTCTTTCAACGCATAACGTTTGTGAGAACCGGTGAACCCATATATGAGTGCATTTATGCATTAAAGAGTCATTTGATTTATATTAATCATTGAATATAAATATATTTTGCAATTAAAAGCCTAAATTATACTATAGATTTGCCATTAGTTACTTAATTTAAATTATAATTAACCTTGAATTTATTGGTCTAATATTTGATTAAATTACTTTTTAATGCATAAATGCTTGCTTATGTAAATGCTTGCTTTACTTAAAATGTGTTGCTATTTCTAAAATATACAGTACATTAAATGGTACAGTACTGAAAGCACTTAAATAATTATTAATCAAATAGATAATACATGGTAAATTTTATTAATAAACATTTGATAACTAAATATTGATTTATTCTTTAGTTTTGATAATAAAATAATTGCTGATAACACCAATTAATACAGGAACAATATCAGATTTTTAATAAAAATGCATAATTTTGCAAAATCCATCTGGTCAATCTAATTTTGTGTCAGAATTTCCATTGTGTTGTTTTTACATTTTTACAATTTACACAAATTTAATTGAATACAAAATACATTTATAATAATTAATGTAATAAAATTAATTATTAATACAACTTATAATTAATAACAATACAACTTACAACTTATAAAAGCAATGACATTACATTATATACAGAACTTTACATTATGTATTGTATATTAGATGCACTGGATTTATAAAATAAATTTATCTAAAATCATGTTTATAGAAAATAAGCAATAAATTGATTTATATATTATTTATTAATGTAAATAAAATTAAAACTATTGTCTTATGCTTTGAGATGACAATTATTTTACGCTTTGAATTGTATGTAAAATGAAATAATGCCTGCATTTATATAAAATTTGATATAAACTTTATAAAAGATTTTGTATCTTAATTGACTATTAATATTTTATGTATAAGAAGTAAACTAAACTAAATTATCATCATATTTTATTCAAAATTTGTCTAAATTTTAACTACAAAACATGGCATCGCACGCAATGCCAGTCGGATATCGGTATTTTTTAACATTTGTGATTTATTTTTGTTATTTATTTTACGTAAGTTATAAACAATATTTTGATTATTGTTGTAATATTTGTAATTAACACAGATTTTTGTATAACTATAGACAATACAAAACTTTATAATCGGTCCGTCATTACCAGATTTACAGCGTATGTACGGCGCGAGTGTTGAACAGATCTCAAACACACAGACAATTGCCGCCGCTTTCTATTTGGTTGGATCTCTCAGTAAATATTATTTATTATTTTATTATTAATAAGAAAAATTAATAATCATGTAATTTACATGTTATTATCATGTACAATATAGTAAATTCCGTTTAATAATCAAGGATATAAATTAAATTACATAGACTTTTATGACAGGCGGACCCGTTTTTAACAGAATCAACAAACAGTTCGGTTATATGTTATGTCAGATATTAATAGGCAGTTGTATAGTCGTTATGACTTATATCAAACAATTGGATGTTTTGTATATATTGTTTGCCATAATAAACATCGGTTGCGGAGGAATTGATTCGGTGTCGAGCGTATGGATAGTGGAGATGTGGGCCGAGAATTGCGGACCCTTTACGCAGGGCTTGCAGTTTGTGATGGGTGTGGGAGGGCTGGTGTCGCCACAGATTATTAATCCCTTTATATCACAACAAGTGACTGACTATCAAGACCTAAACACCACAGACTTGACTGACATTAACACAACTTTAAACGACGGACAGACGGCTGACATAATTAACTCGACTACTATTGAGATATCATATTATACGGGATCTAACATTCATATCCCGTTTACTATCATTGGAGGCATTATTATATTCAACGGTCTATTTATGGGAAGTTTAAACTTTTACAAGAAATACATTCCCCGAGAAGTGGGCCCTAAAGCCGTTGAAACAGATGGCAATAAAATCAAACAATTTTTTACAAACTCTATCAACACATTTAAAACTGAAATAATACCAACAAAAACCGTATTTGCTGTTATTATGCTATCCGTAGCACTAATCGGGTTATCGGGTATTACAGTGAACGCGTGGGGCTCTTATTGGACTTTGTTCATGTCGTTGAGCGGACTTAAACTAAGCGATGCCCTTGCTAATAATATTTATACCGTAATGTTGGGCATGTCTACCCTAAGCCGGGCCTTATGTGTACCCCTGTCTCACTTTGTGAGTCCCAATATAATCTTAGCGGCGAGTCTTACCTTTTGTCTGGCGGGTATGATATTGCTATTAATATTTGCAAACACCTCGGTCACAATGATGTGGGTAGTGAATGGTTTGATAGGGTTTGGCTCAGGGCCATTTTTTGGCGCTATTTGTCAAATGCTTGAGTCGATCACTCCCTTAACAAACATAATTGGATCGATGTTTATATTCCTAATCGGACTCTTGTGTACCATTTGTTCGGTAATTATCGGCAAACATATAACGACTGCTTTTATTTATATCAATCTATTTGTTGCCATTTTTTCTATTATTTTGTTTGCAATTTTGTATTTTATCGCTAAAGTATTTATTCCGAAGAAAGTTGAGATTAAATAATAATTAAATTACTGTTGAATTAAATTGTTGTTATTTTTACTAAATTAATAATAAATTAATATGATTGATCCACAAATCGCTCTCAATAATAACCACTCGTAAGAAAAGAAACTTTATTTGTGGCAAATGTTGGTCAATGTCTGCGAAGAACTTTTCGGAGAACTTAAATCCATCGCAAAATATAGTTAAAGACAAATGTTTTAATTGTTTGCATTGACTGAAAGTTTTACTCGTTATGTTTGACCGAAATTCTGAATCCTTTGACTTGTGGTTCAATTCAATCGGTATTTCAAAACTTCGCAAATGTTTGAAATGTTTGATTTTATCAAATAATAGCCATTTATGTGTCGGAAAGTTAAAATCTAAGCATACTTGTTGCAAAACTATTAAAAATGTGTACAAACAAGAAAATAAAACAATTGATTGTTTAGACAATCAATACGTGAACCAAACAATTAGTGCATAAATTGTATGTAAATTATGGTTAATCATGAAATCGCGCGACTCATAAATGTTGTAATAATAATTGCTATTAATTAACGTTAAAAACCAAAAATTCAAAACAGATTTACAATTTTCTGTATTTGTAATCTAAGAAATTACTCAAACATTATCTCTATTATTATCCAATTGTCTGTAATATAGAAGCAAGAAACCCGAGTCAGTGGTATTGTCCGTTCAAAACATGCGTTCCTTCTGTAACGCGTGTTTCAAAAGAGTCGGCCATCAGTTCTGGCCGTGTGTTTGGTGTTCAGAAGTGGTGTTCTGTGACCGCACCTGTCATGACAGAGGGATCCGCGACTTTCATCAATACGAGTGCAAAATGACTGGTCTTCTGTCCCAAAGCCCCGCATATCAAGCGTTTCGTATTGTCAACAGAATTGGCGCCGAATATGCTTTCAAAACGGCTCAAGACTCGGAGCGCCCGGACTTTGATAGCCAAAAATGGGTGAATCGTTTCTACGCCAGAGACTGTCCGGTCGTCTATCGATTGGTTCGCGAAGAACAGAGACACCACTTCGAGGGACTCTTGGCTTTAGTCGATCACAACGAAAAGGTCACTCCGGAAGAGGCCGTCCGTCAGGCGCTGAACGCCATCCAAATGGCTGTCATTTGCGAACACAAGAAGTCTTTCGTCACATACGAAGAGAAGATATTTGTGGAGTTCGCGGCTTTTTTGGTGAAGATTTGCCGCAAAGCGATGACCAATAGCTTTGGTTACAACATCCGGACCCCCGACGGCGGCTCTTATAGCGTGGGCTCGTGTACTACAGTCTACGCCTCTCTCGTGAACCACTCGTGCGCTCCGAACATGATTTGGCACTTCTTTGAGGACAAAATCATTCTCACGACCGCCAGAGACGTCGAAGACGGCGAAGAGTTGACCATTTGTTACGGTCCTAACGCTTATATGCCTTTAGAGCAAAGACAAGTCGTTCTCCGGAATCACTACCACTTCAGCTGCGGTTGCGATGTATGCGTCCATCACGTGAGGAACTATCCGGCGCTCAAGTGTCTCGAATGCGAGGGTCCGGCGCTGTTTGTGGCCAATCCTATGAGGGATGACAACAACGCGTGTCTAAAGTGCGGAACCGTTTACCCAAACATGAAAGAAGTGGTCAATCGGATCGCGTTTACGAGACTCGAGTTCGAAGCGGCGCTCAAAACTGTGGATAATATCCGGAATCCGCCGAAGAGTGTGCGAAATGACGCCGAAGAGGGCCACGACTTTGACGACCAGTTCGCCGATGGATCAGAAGAAGGCGTTGAGGAAGAAAAGAGCGATTCGGGCGCTGAAGAAGAGATCCAAAGCGACGAAAAGAGCGACAAAAGCCCTGAAATTGAATTGAGTGCCGAACCGGTGGCCGAAGACATCGTTGAGACCGAACCGGAGATTGAATTGTCGGCCGAAAAGATGGCCGAAATCGAGTCATGTCTTGAAAGAGCGGAACAATCGGTGCAAACATTAAAATCGCCTAAAAGTCAGTACACTGTTAAAAGTTTTAGTGCTCTTAATATTTGATTTGACATTTTTATAGGAAAATTGAACTCAAATTTCACATATTTGTGCTTTTATACAATTATTAGCGTCTTTTTAATTACGGGCGCCTTTGCTTCAAATAAGTCCGATATTAGTGTTAAGACAAATCCGTTGTCAAGCGATAGCGAGTGGACGCACACAACAAATTATTTAATAATTTTTTGTATATTTGCATTTGTTTTAACATGTATTGGACTGCTTTTTATCGTTTTTACACGGCTTCAAGCGGAACAAAGCAGGACATTTTCCCGTGAAGAATTGAATGTATATTTGTCTGAATTTCATACACCACTTAATAGGGAGAACAGACAGAAAACTTGGGATTCCGTTCTACGCGGTCTCCCCACTCGGACTATCACACGGAAACGCACCGATCCTGTGCTAATTTTGTCTAAACATGAATTACACGGTATATTCATAACAATGATAAATATGGACGATAAAAGTAATGCCGAAAAATACACTTTAAAGGAATGGGATCGGCATTATAAAGAGAGAAACACATTTAATGGTGTGTTTATTATTGATATAAATATTATAAACAATTAATTATTTTGTATTTATATAAAGGTGTAACAGTCGTGAGTCCGCACTTGATTGCAACGAAGTCGGAGGAGTTTGGCCCCAATAAAGGAATCACTGCTCAGAAACCAAACACTAAGAGTCCCACAAAAGGTGTGTTTATTATTGATATGAATATTACAAACAATTAATTGTTTTGTATTTATATAAAGATCGAAAGACTGTGAGTCCGGACAAGACTTCGCCTAAGACTGTGAGTCCAGCGATAACTGCAGCGAAGAGACCAGTGGTTGAACCCAAGAGAGGAACCGCTACTCAAAAACCAAACACTAAAATTCCCACAAAAGGTGTGTTTTATGTTTGATATGAATATTACAAACAATTAATTGTTTTGTATTTATATAAAGACCGAAAGACTGTGAGTCCGGACAAGACTTCGCCTAAGACTCAGTCCCCGAAAGTCAAGAAATAGAAGAATTAATATTTGAAAAGCGAATCTTAATTTATGTTCTCATTTATTCTGTATATTTATCACAAATTTGTAAATGTCATTCTTATTCGTCCGTTTCTATATTCAATAATTATTAATTTCTAAATAATAAATATATTTTTACTCAATTCCTGTCTTCAGAATATATGATAACTTTTATGCCATAAGAAGTGTCTCTTCTATAAGAGAATGGTTTGTATAATGAGTTCAATCACTCAAAACAAGAGTCAATACAATTGTATAAACCGGCAAAAATTTACATTTAATTCAATTTATTTATTAAAATCATGGTTAATATTTATAATATAAAATTGTTATTTAAGAATTAGCTACAAAATAAGTGTAGTTTTTTACATTATATAAATTATATGAACAATGTTGTAGACAATAGAATATATAAAGTGACTATTGGCTTTACATTAGTAACTAGTGTGCACTAAATATTATCTAGGACATTTTAAAAGTACAAATATATTTTAAAAATAAAAGTTATTGATTTGAACACGGTTAATTTGCACAAATATGATTGACATCACTAATTGATATTAAACATGCAAAGTTCATGTATTGTGTTTTATTTAATTAAAAATCGCAAACTTAATACAGCTGTCATTGAAATACAATTTATGTTTAATCTAATTGGTTATCCATTGGGAAGTTTGATTAACGTTTAAATTAATATACAGTACAGTATCAGGTAAATTAAGGTGTATTAATTAAACTCTTTACACTAAATTTACACTAAATATTTACTGATAATGAGAGTGAAGTACTTTATATTTCTACCAATCAAATTTTTATCATGTACATATTTATTTTATAAATGCTGATATAAAACGGGTTTTAATGAACAAAAAATTCAATACATAATAATATTACATAAAATGCTAGTACGTGTACCTGTATATATACATTATAAATAGGTAGAAAATTGATATATTCAATAATTATAGATTTGCAAAACAAGTAAAAATGTTTATCAAACTATTGTTAGTCTCGTTGTCTTTGGCCGTGTGTTTGGTGTCCGGCGAAGAAGAGGTGGACATTACAAAAGGTCCGCCCGATTACGACAAGCCATGGGTTGAGGGCTGGGGTTTCAACAAGAGTGACCACCAGTGCTGGAAAAAGCAACATGAGCATATGCTCAAACAGACCAAAGAGCATGGTAGTAAGATCAAGGTGCTTTTCTTTGGCGACTCCAAAACAGCCCGATTCCTGTCTGAGGGCAAAGCCGTTTGGGACGAACACTACGCCAACAAAGGCTGCTATAACTACGGCGTGAGGGGTGACAGCACTCGGCAACTGTTGTGGCGAATGCATCACAAAGAGTTTGAAGGACTCGCACCCAAAATCACCATTTTAAATGTTGGCGGCAATAATTTCAAGAGTAATTATAATAGAGGTTTGCGATTCTTATATTTTTTACTTATAAATAATTATAGTTTTAATGAATTTAAATGTTTTTGATTCTTTGATAGGAACCGATGACGAGATAATAAAGGCATTCAAAGCGATAATAAAAGGTTTGAGAGAAATGATGCCAAAGAGTGAACTCGTAATAGTGGGAGAGTTGCCCCGCAAAAGCAAGACCGACGAGAGGGCCCGATATATAAACGATGCACTCATGAAGGAGTATAACGAGTCGAGCGATAAAATGATACATTTTGTCGATATATTTCCCAAATACAGGACTAATAAAGACAAACAAAATCTCAAACTTTTTATTGACGACGGCTTTCATCTCAATGAAGAGGGATATAAAGTATTGGCTCACATTCTGGACCCCATTATTAAGAAACTTCTTAAAGAATAAATTTTATACACAGATATATTTTTGAAATATTATATTGTAGATTAAGTTTTTCCACAAATTAATAAATTACTATTTTTACATTCAATTACTATTTTTATCTGAATGTGCTCAGTCTTCAACAGGATATATACAACAAGAACTATTGTATTTTAAATGTCACCTGATAGATTTTTAAAAAATTTAACTTAAAACATTTGATAATACATTATTATTTTAAAAACTATCACTGTAACCAGGGTTATTTTTATTGGAATATATCTTTTATTATATGATAGCTTAGATGTCATATATATAATTAATTATTATTATATTCTTTAATTTATTTGAAATCTTAAATAACTGTTAAGATTTACTATTACTAATAATTCTGACACAAAAGTGTCAACATCATTGTCTTTATAAGTCGATCATTTCTCATATGATATACTGTACAATAAATATTAAATGCAGTAATTATTAAATCAAATTACTGTCAGATAAAATTTTATTAATAAATCACCCGAACAGAATCACGGATTTCAAGTTTACAATAGTTATCTATAGATAGAATAGATATCATCACAAATTGAAATTGAATATCTTAAACATTTATCGATAATATGTACTGATTTTATAATTAAATTAAAAAAACAAACGCTATTGTAATGCAGCTATTGTTAAATTTCAATTTTATGTTTAATCTATTTGTGTACTCAATGGAGGAGAGTTTGACAGGTGTTTAAATTGATAGACCATGAATTATATGTGCAATAAATCTACATTGGTTATTTAGTGGCACTGTTCCTGGTATATTTTACTAAAGATAATTTTATCATGTATTATTTGCGTGACTAACGAAAGTATAAACTGGAGTTGTATTGCATTCATATGTAAAAATACATTACATTTATCATTATATCTTTACAATAGATATACAGGTACAATATAAATACAATGTATAAATAAGCATAAAATCACCGCATCTACTAATTAGTCTTTGATTATAAATACGAGTGAAAATGTTAATCAAACTATTGTTAGTCTCGTTGTCTTTGGCCGTGTATTTGGTGTCCGGCGACGACGTGGACATCACCAAAGGACCGCCCGATTACGACAAGCCATGGGTTGACGGCTGGGGTTTTAACCAGAGTGATCACTTGGGTTGGAAAAAGCAACATGAACATATGCTCAAACAGACCGCAGATCATGGCTCGAAAATTAAGGTCATTTTCTTTGGCGACTCTAAGATCGCCCGACTATTATCTGAGGGCAAAGCCATTTGGGACGAGTACTTCGCCCCCAAACACTACTATAACTACGGTATTAGGGGTGACAGCACTCGACAGATTCTGTGGCGGATGCATCACAAGGAGTTTGAGGGCCTGACGCCCAAAGTACTCGTTTTTATGATTGGCGGCAATAATTTCAAGAGTAATTATAATAGAGGTTTGCCATTCATTTAATACCAATTGCCCTTTGATTGAAGTTTAATTGGTTTTTGCATTTATAGGAACCGATGATGAGATACTAAAGGCAATGGATGTGATAGTGAAGGGCTTGAGAGAGATGTTGCCAAAGACTGAACTTGTTTTGGTCGGACAGTTGCCCCGTAAGGGCACGACCGACAAGAGGGCCCGTTATATAAACTCGGCTCAAGTGGACGAGTATAAGGAGTCGAGCGATAAAATGGTTCATTTTGTTAATCTCTTCGCCAATTATACGACGACTAAAGACAAACAAAATACAAAACTTTTCATTGAAGACGGCATTCATCTCAATGAAGACGGATATAAAATATTAGCGCAAACACTCGATCCTATTATTAAGAAACTAATTAATGTATGAATTTTTGAAATTGTTTTTAACTTTTAATAAAATTATGTTATTTCATAAAAATATATATATTTCCCGCAAAATAGTTAACATATTATTATTGCTGCAAATATATTATTATTAAAGTTTTTATAAACATATTTGCAATATTAAGTAATTATATTTTATTAAAACAAATATTATATTATAAACACAATTTTTTTGTAAATAAATTATTTTATTTATAAATTTAAATCTTGTTAGAAAATAAAGTGTGAAATAAAACAATGTCTTCGAGTGATACTAATGGGAAGACAGCTATTGTTTGGATTGATTTGAGTCTCAAAATTAAATCATTAATTAAGAGAAATGAGAAAATAGTTTTGAATAAAGTGACCGGTTTTGCAGAGTTTGGGAGTTTGACAGCAGTTATGGGTCCGTCGGGTGCGGGACTCACATCACTCTTGAGGTGTTTGAATGGTATGAATAACAGGAGATTAGACGCCGACTCCCGGATCCGTTTAAGTCGTGACCACAAAATCAGATCCGCTTTTATCGGACACAACGAAAAAGAGATTCTGATAATGGGATTAACGGCCAAACAAAACATGATTTACGCGTCGAAACTGAAAAACAGTGGTTTACCCGAAGGAAAGACAATTGACCACAACATGAATGTGTCGGCAATAATGACAGACTTGTTGATGAGCGACATAATGAACACTCGGGTCGACCGATGCAGTGGTGGTGAACAGAAACGACTGGCCATTGCTGTCGAGTTGACGGCATTTCACAAACCAAACCTCATATTATTTGATGAGCCGACCACTGGTCTCGACAGTAATGTCGCTGAAGTGGTCAGTATTGGTATCACTAGCTATTAACTCATACACAAATTTCTATTAGTTTTGTAAATATAAGTAATATTTTATATAACAGGTAATACAATGTATAAAAAGTTTGGCCCAAAAGCACAACACATGTATTATAGCGACTATACATCAGCCAAATTCAGATGTATTGCAAATGTTTGACAATTTGTATGTATTGGCAAAGGGAGGACAGTGTGTATACTTTGGCCCACCCGTCCATTTACGGCATCACTTGAGCTCATCCAACATTGTCTGCAATGAGAATCAGGTGCCGATCGAACACCTGTTGACCATTGCATCCAAAGGCAGTGACAGTACAGATGTAATTGAGTTGAGAGCAAAGACAGGACAGCGAATGAATCAATTCATTTATCACAGAATTAATGATACCATTAATAAGCAAATACACCACAAAAGCAAACCATTTCTCGTCAGAGATGTGTTTCTATTAACCAAACGATGGATAACAGAGTTTTACTCATATAAGTGGCGGATATATCTGTTAAATTTGGCGGTCTTTGTATTGTCCGCCGCTATCTTTGCATTGATGTACGGCTCAGACATCGGTCAGTACGACGACTGTATGGCCGGAATCGGTGTCCAAACAAATGAGACGTGTCTCGAAATATTGGACAGAGACTATCAAATCAATCAAAATTTATGTTTTCTTACATTCACTTCATGGGTATTACAACTCATTGTTTGCATTCAAACGGTGGCGGATATGATCATTACAATCAAGATCTTTACGAATGAACGCCACAACAGTTTAGTTATTATTTCTATTATTTATAATAATATACTAATTCATTTAATTTTTTGCTATATAATAATTTTGACAATTAATTTTCAATCATATTTATTGATATGTTAAACAGAGTGGTACAGTACGAGTGTGTTTATGATCACCCAAAACTTGATAGACTTAATACCGACCACAGTTGGTGTCTGTGTGGGGACAACCATAATGTTTTACACGACCAGTCAATACAACCACGATCACCGATTCTGGATGATTGTATATGCTATGCAATTACTATTACACAGCACTCAGGGCTTAGCATATTTTACTGTAACCTTATTTCACTGGCACAAGCAGTTGACATTTATAATGATTACCAGTATTTGTCTTATCGGTGGACTTTTTACCAGTTATTTCATAGATATAGACAACATTCACGGCTTCTTCCAATTTTTAAGCAATATTTCTCAATTGAAATTTGCGACAAACAGTATGTTTGTGGCCGTCTATGGCTTCGGTCGCTGTCCTGACCATCAGTTCTCTAAACTCTTGTGCGAAAATCATATCAATGATGACAATATGTATTGGAAATATACAAACTATCTATGGATTCAGTTAATTGTGTACAGAGTTTTGGCATACATTGTATTGATGTGTCAAATGAATATCAATTGGTTTCACATAATAATTAATAAATGTCAATTTAATAAGCAATATGCTAATAATAATGATTATTATTGTGGTAATAATAGGATTGAAATGCAAACTTTATCAAGCCTTGTGTCAGAAGTTGGATGTAATTTGAATAATAGTCGTGTCGGAGGACAGGCGAGTAAAACATCCATTGATATCAAACATTCCTCCCGAAGAAGTAAAGACAACAGGCGTTTGAGTATAGCGTGGATTGATTTGACACTAAAAGTGGATAAAACTCTGTATTCATCTGAAAAAGTGATCCTAAGAGGTGTTAACGGATTGTTTGAATTCAATTCACTCAACGCATTGATGGGTCCGTCGGGTGCGGGAAAGACATTACTCTTGCGCTCATTGAACGGAATGTGCAGACATTTGATGACTGAAGAGTCAAAGATATATTTGAGTACTTTTCACACAATCAGGACCTGCTTTATAGCTCAGGACCAGAGGGAACATCTCATCACTGGCTTAACAGTCAAACAATCACTCATTTACGCGTCTAAACTGAAGAACAGTTCCAAGAGTTACATAAACCACGAAATCAATGTCTTTCAATTGATGCAAGAGTTGTCCATAACTGACATAATGGGTGTAAATGTGGAGAAATGCAGTTCCGGTCAACAGAAGCGGATTGTGATGGCAATGGAGTTGACGCCAGACATCAAACCTAATCTCATATGTATTGACGAACCCACGAGTGGTGTCGACAGCTATTCAGCCCTTTTAGTAATACTTTGTTTTTGAATGATTAACAAATTATTATTAATTGATTTAACCATTTGTTGATAATTAGATGATTAAGTGCTTTAAAAAGTTGTCCCAAAAGCATAGGTTAACGATCATTACATCCATACATCAGCCAAACCTCGAAATACTAATGCTTTTCGACTCACTGTATGTTTTGGCCAAAGGAGGGCTTACCGTATACTCCGGGCCACCAAAACACCTGTCCTTACATTTACAACAATGTAATATCGCATACAGTAGTGAACAGATCCCCATTGAAGTACTCATGAAGATCGCTGCCAACGGGTATAACGACCGGACAGTCATTGATTTAACGGAGAAAACAAATGAAAATATGAGTTATAACTCACAACTTATTGAAAGTCAATTGAAATTGCATTCAAACGGCATTTTAATTAAAAGAAAATCATTTCAATTCATTAATACTTACCATCTATTGAGCAGATCAGTCGCCTATACCTTCAGCTACGGCTGGAAACAGTTGTTGGCGGAGATTGTGATTAATCTAATGATCACTTATTTTGCAAAATTAATTTATGATTTTGACTTCAATGAAGCGAAGGGTTGTGTGGCGTTAGCCGTCAACGGCTCCTACGGGTGCCGACAAACCGCTCAAGACTTGGATGACTTGAAACTGACTTATTATAACAATCAATTCATTTCATTCATAGTCACGACTCAATTCTTCTTCAATTTAATTCTAAGCGCAATGAAAACCTCATCACAAATAAAGCTCTTTATGTCTGAACACAGAAATTGTGAGTAAAACTGATGACCAAAAGTCTGGTCAACTCATATCATATTATCGGCCGAATATATTAAATAAAAACTTTAATTTTAGTTAACATATTCATAACATAAGTTAATATATTGTACAGTATTTAATTATAAAATATATATACATGGTAATAAGATAAAAATTATAACTATTATAACTATTAAATTAAATTATAACTATCAAAATGTTTTCCCTAATTCATGGTACTTATAGTCTGGTACAGCACTGAGTCATTCTTTGTGGTCAAATCAGTGATGGATTTCATACCATTTATGATAATATTGGCGTCAGTTGTGGCGGTGATTGACAATTACGACAAAGAGTACACCTATTGGTCACTAATACTGGCGTTGAGCTTAAGTTGTCTACAATATCAGAGTTTGGGCCAAATCTGTGGCATTTGTTTTGAGGAAAACGGGGTTTTGGTCGGCATTTTGTTAATACCAATTGCAGTGGTGTTTAGCGATTCAGTGATACTTTTGCATGATTTGGGATCAATTGCACAGCACTTGTCACATATCACTTCGAGCGCCCCATTTATACGCTACACAAGGATCTGGTTTTACGGCTCCGACCGGTGCCCAAAAGACCACATCTCATATATTTTGTATCGGTTTCGCATAATTGACGCCGATTTTGACACTCAATGGCGACTATTGATTATTCAATTAATTTTTTATAGACTTTTAACGTATATTTTGCTTAAATTAAAAATTTATAAGTTTAAAATTATAATTAAACTTAAATGTTTAGGAAGAAAATTATTTTGATTTGCATTGGAATTAGAATTGTTAAATGTAAATTTTAAATATGTTGATTTTATTTAATTAATCAATTTAATTTATTTTAGAAGGAAAATATTTATATCAATATTTTAATTTAAATACAATGTTTTTAATTAAAGCAATCGGAAGAGTCGTTCGGGAAAATTGGAAATACTTACGGCAATTATAAGAAACCAAAACTATTTGCTGTTATTTAAGAATAAATATGCCGATATAAAAATATTTTTATATAATTTTAATGTCAAATTATAAATTAAACTAATATTTATTTTATTGTTTATTAATAATTATAATTTTTATAGACTTCAAAAAATAATATTTGTTGCATTACTTGTTTATCTGTAAAAATTATTATTACAAATTATTAATAGAAAATAAAATAATAAACTACAATTAAAAAATAAAAAGCCATGTAGTTAAATATGATACAGCGTTTTGTAAATACAGTTTTTTATAACAGCTATTGGAAAAGTTTTTATATCAGTTAATACTAATTATTAATTAAACAACAATTAGCTAAGCATTTATCATGAGATAATTTTGTGCGTAATGTTATATCAATAATAGATATAATATTGGATTTAAAAATTAATTATCAAAAATTGCACAATTAATTTTTGAACAAAAAATAGTTCAGTTCATAATTTATAGTTCGGTTTAAATAGTTCAGTTCAGTTTATATGAGAACATCAAAATCTGTTCTCAAATACAATACTACTGTAAACTGATAATTGAAAATAACATGGTACGGTATAACTATTTAAACAAGGTAACATTTAAACACAAATCACTTTATAAATGTTTTATGTTTGTATAAAAATCAATTCATTTGATACTAACAAAAAAGTACTTCATTGGCAATAATTGGCAAAAATGTATCTCATTTTAGTGATTATGTCTGTCATAAGTGGCGCTCATTTGGATGACATCGACATAACGAAGGGTCCGCCGGCGTATGACAAGCCATGGGTGTCTGCCTGGGGCTGGTTTGGCACTACAAACCCTACGGGTTGGAGGGATAAGCACCTGAAAATGCTTAATCAGACTAATGAACACAAAAACGATATCAAACTCCTGTTTTTTGGCGACTCAAAGACCGAGGGCTGGATCCGTGAGGGCATCGATGTTTGGAAAAGTAATTACGTTAATAGAGGCGGTTATAACTACGGCATCGGCGGCGACAGCACTCGGCAGGTGTTGTGGCGGATCGACAACAAGGAGTTGTCTGGTTTGGCGCCGAAGGTATTGGTGTTTATGATCGGCGGTAATAATTTTGGCAACAATTATAACAGAGGTTTGCATTACAACCGCTAATAAAAGCGTTAAAACTTTAAACTATGTCAACAATTATGATAACAAATTATATGATTAACAAAAAACTATTGATCTAAAGGTACGGACGAAGAGATAGTGAAAGCGGAACATCTGATCGTCGATAACATACGTAAAGCAGTGCCCAAAACACACATCATATTTGTGAGTCAATTGCCGAGAGGGTCCTCTGACAACAGGGCCAGACATATAAACACCTTATGGGAACAAAGTGGTGACAGCAAGACTACCATGGTCAGTGACACGTTTGTACATTTTATAAATCCGTACAAAAAGTTCACTAAACCGGACGGAACACAGAATCTGGACCTTTATATCGGAGATCACATTCATCTGAATAAAGCCGGTTATGAAATATTGGCTCAAAGTATTGAACCACTTATCAAACAATTCCTGTGAACGCATTTGCGTTACATTTAATTATTAAAATTTTGTTAATTAATAAATTACTTTCTTATGTAAACATGAATACATTATTTGACTTTATTTTTCATGTTTCGTTTGTGTGTACACATGATTATACAGAAAATACAATACATTTGCTTAGAGTTTACATATGAAAAGCTCGTAAAATGATTAGTAAAAAACATAAATAGATTTCTCGTGAATTAGTTTTGCGTATAAATTGTATCACAAATTATCGCTGTGTAATGCAATTGTCCGGCACCGGGAGTTATGGCTGTATCGCCACAATCTCAATAGTAATCCAGTATTTGTTTCAGTATTTCATTGAATGTTGAGATTCTGTTATAAAATAATAAAATATTAATTAAACATAAAAATTATTAGTTAATACAAATTTTAACAATTATACGTGTGTTAATTATTAACAAATATTCAATAATTATTATTATAACATATTAAACTAATTTAGAATTTAATGTTCAAATATAAAATACATGATTAAACAAAATATATACTCACACGACAAACAATAATATTTTACACAATACAATGTATAATAAAAAGTGGAATAAAATGTTTGCAAAAACTGTTTTATAAAACATAAATTGAGAGCAAATAGAGAAACAAATTGGCGACAAAAGGGGCAAAAATAAATAGACTGATCGCTGGACTCAACGACAAACGAATTTGCGATTTATTGATTAAATGCAAGAATTTTGCCATAAAATCAAACATTTTGTCGTCGTTTTGCTCGTCTCTCTCTCTCTCTCTCTCTCT